AAATACACATAATCAATCACAAATTATGTACATAAATTACACACAAACTTTATATAATAAACATAACTTGATTTTCAGCACAATCTATTACCAAAATATATTGTTTTTTTTGAAACTTTAATATTAAAATACGATATTTTAACTTCTTATTTACAAAAAACTACGATACTTTTTAAAAATGGAGTTAATAATTCCGTTTTTATAAAAAAGCAAATTCAACGATCGCACTTTTGTAAAAAAACTTGGTCTAAAATAATAAGCTGAAACACCTTACAAGCGTGGTCACTAACCACGCTTTTAACGTTTCAACTGGTGCGAAGAATAGGGACTCATTCAGTAGGCTAGGCATACCTGAAGAAACTCGAATGGAACCTCCATAGAATGAAAACCGACAAGGATCGGCCGCCGCCTCAAAGCAGTATCCAGCAAAAACTCCTGGACGATAGTAATAACGGAGGATCAGATATTTCTGTTGATCCAACATCCGATACGAAAAGCAATCCTTGCTATACGTGATCGATCAACACCCCCACAAATGAATCCTCTCATCTTCTCTCAATTTGATCGATCTCAAAACTCTAAATTTTACAAAAAGATCCTCTCATCTTCTCTTAATCTCAAAACTGTTTAAAAGCCATGGAATTATTTTCGAGTAAAATGCAAACATGTCCCTCTGGTTTCCAATAATCAGCAAGTTAGTATCCAAACATGTCCCTCTGGTTTCGAGTAATAACTGTCATGTATCCAATACTGCCCAAGAGTGTTTTCTTTGGTCCAACAGCTCTGGAATGCGAATATGTCAGTGTGAAAAGCGTGTTTTATAAACACGCTTTTCACAAAAGACGCGTCGCCACCATGTTTACAAAATACGCTTTTCTCATTGTCCAAAAATTTTTTTTCCCATAAAGCGGGGTTGTTGGGAACGTTGAATCCGCTTTTTAACAAAAACGAGGTTATTGAATTCGCTTTTTAATGAAAGCGGAGTTGTTAAATCTACTTGTAAAAAGTATAAATACCGTATTTTAATATTAAAATTTCAAAACAACTGTGTTTTAATAATATATTCGACAAATTTTTGTCTCACCATCTATACCACCATTAATCAATCGGTACATATTTTTTGTCAAACCATGCATCTTACTTGGACAGATTTCTTGTTTGACTGGCCATATTTTTGTTGATTGATAAGAACTTTAAAGCGACAGATGACTTTTACTTGGTGACCTTTGCACCAAACCTGGGTTGATGCCCACAATCCACACACTAGTGATAAGGTGGGACCTTTCTCACCATGGCCTCTCTCGTTTTGTCTCCTTTAGAAGACTAATCAATGTCGATGTAGGTAGTTGGTGTATCCGGTCATTAAACAAAAAAAAAAAAAAAATTTGGTCATTATCCAGTTACATGTTTGTAATTTTTTTTAATCATAAAAAAAACCCTCCGAGACTTTCTTTTTAAACTTTGGAAAAATAAACTCCAATACTTTTAATCACAAGCAAATCACATATATCTACTATACTTATGAAATGCCAAGAAGGGTAATTAAAATTAAGACATATGAGTTTATGGCGCAATATAAAGTTAACTCCATACAGTTAGCTTACTCTATGCAGGTTTCGGTGTTTCCACTTTAATAGGGCAATTGCATACCTATTTATTTTTTTCAAGAAAAAAATATCGATCAGTGATTGTATTCCTCTTAATAAGTTATTCGCAATTCATATACCACCTACCACTTTTATGGAACCCTCTCCAATAACTTCACTTGGGAATTCCAAATTAAATGGCTTACCCCCATTAAGTAGCCCGATACGACTCCTATCAAATTTTAAAATAATTTGAGAATTTTTTAATTACTTTTGAAGGGTGAAAATTTGTGAATGTCAGCATACCTAATTTATTTTTGAATTTTAAAATTTCAAGTGTTTTGTGAAGGAGATAAAATTTGATGACATAGAACGACCTTCACCATTTAAAAAGAATCAAAAGGATTCACCAATTATTTTAAATTTAGGGAGAATTCAAATCCAATGTAAATATGTTTAAATATTAATTAAATGAAACAAATGAAAATAAAATAATACTATCTTCCATATGGGTACAAAGCTGAGCAATAGCTTGGGCCCATGGTCCCCTGTAATTTCTGTAACATGGGGTCCATTAGATGGCTGCTGAACTGTTTTATATGTCAAAGGTACTTGGCCCTCCTTTTATAATTTATGGAAAAATTTCAGTTACACATCTCCTAATTCAGTATATATGCAAGAATATCTCATTTATTATTAAAAATATCACTGACACCCTTTTTAGTTTATATTTAAACATTATTAACACCTCATACCATTAAACTATTATTTTTAACAAAAAAAAATTCATCTAAAATACCAAGAATACCCTTACATAAACCTCAAGTAATTTTTATACAAAAACTTTTATTAAAATTCAAGCCGATTAAAATTTGATTGAAGCTGATAAAATTATTTTTTTTTAACGAATTAAAATTCGAGTTTATTAAAATTTAATTTTTACTCATTAAAATTTGAGTCAATTTGAACTCTACCCGAGTTATCAGAGTCGATTAAAATTCGTTTTCAAGTCGATTAAAATTTATATTTTTTTACTTATTAAAATTCGTGTCAATAAAAATTTGATTTATTAAAATTTGAGTAAATTAAAATTTATATTTTTATATGTATTAAAATTTGGGTTGATTAAAATTCAATGCGAGTTGATTAAACATAATTTTTAATTGGCTCAAATAGAATTTTAATTAGCCCAGATTTTAATAAGCAAAAAATATAATTTTTAATCAGCTCAAATTTTAATTAGCTTAAATTGAATTTTAATTGACCTGAATTTTAATACGTAAAAAAAATTAGAAAACAAATAAGGTCTCATTGAAAATATGTTTATCTAGAGGGGTATGAATGAAGTTTGTCCTCAAATATATCAGTGACAATTTAGTAAAATTACATTCTAATTAATATTTTTAATCTGACATGGGTGTCAATGAAGATTCAAAAAATAGAGAAATATCCTTGAAGATATGATAAAATAAAAGGGATGTGATTGAAATTTTTCCATAACTTATTTATTGGTACAAGAGAAGATATGTGAAACAATTAACCATGAGACAATAATACTCTATTTTTTTTTTCCTATTTAGATCAATAAAAGTTGTTCTTTTCCTACTGTCTCAATAAAAAATATCTCTTTGGTAAATATTATTAAAAACTATCGATTAACTGGTTAATATTATTAAAAACTATCAATTAATCGATTAACCGGTTAATATTATGAATAGTTTTGTTTATATTGAATATTGGAAAAATATTATTTTTATCAAGATACAAAAATTATCAATTTATCTTTGAAATGATTAATTTTTTAACATTGTCCCATAAAATATTATGTCAAATCAATCATTTAAAAACCATTATCAATTTATCTTTTGAATAATTAATTTTTTAACATTGTCCCATAAAATATTATGTCAAATCAATCATTTAAAAACCATAAGACAGACATGTTCCTCCTTTTCTTTGCTCTACAAAATCCACATACATGATGTTATTATTTACTCTATTTTAGATCATCATAAAATATTTCTACAAATCGATAATGGCATCATGATTGATAAAAACATAATAGTCAAATGACAAAAAAAAAAAAAAAAAGATAAATAATACGTTCTTCCATATAAAGTTTTTCAAAATTTACGTTTACATATATGCCCCCTTTCCACCTCTTCTGAAAACTCGCTTCTATTCTTGCTGGAAACTCACTCTCTCTCTCTCTCCCCTCCAATGTTGAGAGAAAATCTCATTGTTGTGGGTTTCATCACAGTCCTTGTTCTCATCCACTTCACTCAACCATGCTGGTGTAAACAGAATCATCCCTGTGACCCCTCTTCCTGCGGCAATATCCATAACATCAGTTACCCTTTCCGATTGAAAGATGATCCCAAAAACTGTGGTAACCCCAAATATGAGCTTGCTTGTGAAAATAATGCTACAGTTTTATACTTGGGTGACCATAAACATAAACGTAAATACCTCGTTCAATCTATCAACTATCCTAACCTCACAATCCGCCTTGTTGATTCTGCTGTACCAAAAAAGGATAATTGCTTCTTTCTTCCTCAGTATTCTTTAACCGAATACAACTTCATTTACAAAGATCCATATAGCACTTTTAACCAATTTGACCAACAGAAAAACAAGCCTGTAACTTTTCTGAATTGCCCATATCCAGTAGATTCTCCTCCCTACCTGGAGATAGGACAGTGCATCAATGGAGTTTATACTACAAACTCCTCTTTCTCCTCCTCTTCCAGAATACACTCTTATGTCATTGTTAGCGGCTTGATGGCAGCAGAAGTGAGAGAGAGGTGCAGTATAGAGCTAATGGTGATGACCTCGTGGGCGTTTAAGGATAATAATAATATCTCTTTTTCAGACATCTACGACGCCATGGAATATGGGTTTGAGCTTTCATGGTTCAAAACAGAGGTTTTATTATTGCTCCATTCTTGGACTGTATTTCGATGGATCCACCAAGTGCGGTAAGAAATCGAAAAATGAAAATATATATGTGTGTGTGTGTGTGCCTGATTTCTCCTCACCTTTACCTGATCAGTTTCTTTATGGACTAATGGGGTAATTTTGGCTTAATCTGTAGGAGAGTGTACTATTGAGTGGAGGTAATTTTGAAAGCAATTATGGACTAATTAGGTATTGATAGAACTTCAAAATCTATTGGTTTTTTTTTTTTTTTTTGGGTGAATTTTGTCTAATTTGTCAGATTGAAAATTTTGCTCAGTTAAAAAAATACTAACATAATCAAAAGTGAAGACGATTTTTATTGGAATCTAACATTATGAGGCGATATGTTACAACAAATCAAACCTCAAAAAATAACGGTATTAATTTTCGTACCTAAGGGGTTCATCTAATTAAGTGGCAAACTTAAAAAATTAAATGAGCATCTCATATGATTTTAGAGAGTGAATGACATAACGGAGTAAAAAAGACAGATCAACTCAGTTTAATAGGTCAAGACATGGTAACAGTCTCCCAGAAAGCTTTATTATGTAACAGCAAACTTGTTACCAAGTATAAAGGAATTATTTCCAGTTTAAATTTTCCCTTTTTACTATGTTTTTATTGTTTTTTTCTCTGATGGTAATCTTTGTATGAACAATACAGGCACCAAAGAATTCTTTCTGGCCATCTGTTTCTGTAAGTATTCTTTCTTTTTCTTCTCATGTTTGTTTCGCTACCACCTAGGCAGATTCCAACATGACTTACTTGACTTGGAAAATGGGGGTCAAAGGTATGCTCGCACTACATCTCAAGTTCAACTCTCCTAACCATATAAATTTCAAAGGTATGGTGATTGGATGTTTTCCCTTTACACGGGGAAGAAAAAACTCAATATGACTTGGGGCCTCAACCTAGACAATGGTATCCAAATGAAAATTGTTAAGTATGGGCTCAACCCTGCCATGCAATATATGTAAACTATGTTACTTGCAAAGCTGAATTTGCCACATGTTGATCAACTTATACACGTGACCTCCTTGTTTTAATTACATATGTGTCATTTTTGCAGATATCCGGAGAGCCATTATATTGGGCATAGGTAAGCCCCTGCACCTTTTATAATTTAATTATTAATATATGTTCTACAGTCGTACAAACTGCTTTGATAGTTTTGAAGGAGTGAAAATAAGAGAAAATAGAGACCAGAGAAAAGGGGGAAGCCTAACCCATTCATTTGAATAAGAAGTGAAGAGAGATAGTCAAGGAACTTAAAAGATTTTTAAGTTTCTCAGTCTTCAAATTAAGTTGCTTTAGCCAACTGTGTAGGTGGTAATCACGTATAGAAGTGATATGTTTTGTACTGCACAAGCCAAATAAGTAGGGTATAAAAAATGGGGCTAATTTCAATTTGCACCTTGAAAGATTGTTCAAATTTTAATTTACATCTTCAAAGTTTAAAGATATAAATATGTTTCAATGTGCTCGTGAGACTAACTGCAATATATTTTGCAGTTAAAAAAATTTGAATTAATTATAAATTGCACCTCTCAAATTTTAAATATTTCACATTTATAATCCATACAAAATTTCATTCTTTATTGCTCGTTAAATAGCTCTCAATTATATCGTATCATAATATTTTCGTGTCGTGTTCAAGTCAATAAAAAATTATTTTTAACAAATAATATTTTCGTGTCAAGTCAATTGTGTTGTGTCTTATATTTCACATTTACGATAATTCATATAATACTATTTAATATTTTTTTTTAATTAAAAAATATCAATTTTTTGTCTATAATACTTGTTAAATAACTATTTTTTTGTCTAGAATTGTGTTATTCGTATATAACTTTAGTTTGATTGGACAATCAAAAGATTTGTATCTAACTATAGATAGAAAATAATTATTTAACGAGTATTGTAAGCAAAAAAAAGGTATTTTATAATTTTTTTTTCAATTTTAAAAAAAATATTTATTGACTCGGACACAACACGAAGATGTTATAATACAATACAATTGAGAGTTATTTAACGAGTATTAATAGATGAAATTTTTTTTGGATCATAAATATGATATATTTAAACTTGGAGGGTATAATTAACCCAAACTTTTTTAACGGAAAAATGGACAGAGTTAGTTTCAGGAACACATTGATACGAATTTATATCTTTCATGGCATAAATTTATATTTTTAAACTTTGAATGTACAAATTGAGATTTAAATGATCTTTATGAAAACAGGTTGATATTAGCCCTAAAAACTCCCTATTTTTATGAGTTTTTTCAACCAAGAACCATGGTTATAGTGATGGCGAGTTTTACTTAGCTATAAAGTTGATCTATTGTCATCTAGGCAATATGGGTTCGAGTCAAAGGAATAATCTTTTTGCATGTGGAGTAAAGCTGCCCCTCTTTAGATCCTACAGTAGTACAAGAGCAGTGCACTAGACTGCTCGTCTTTAACCATAGTTCTAATGATACAGCACCAGATCAGTTTCTCATGGCTTTCCTCTTAATTTTCTTGCACAGGACTGCACATTGCAGCAAAATTTCTGATTGGGTTACCAAGCATTTTTGTGTTCATAATCTATAAACTGCGAAGAAGGCATTTGTCGATGTTTGATGCAATTGAAAGGTTTCTACAAAGTCATAATAACCTCATGCCCATTAGGTACTCCTATTCAGAGGTTAAAAAGATGACAAAAGGCTTCAAGGACAAATTGGGTGAAGGGGGTTATGGTACTGTGTATAAAGGAAAGCTTCGAAGTGGCCGGTTTGCGGCAGTAAAGATATTGGGTAAATCCAAAGCTAATGGGCAAGAATTCACCAATGAAGTTGCTTCGATTGGAAGGATTCATCATGTCAACGTGGTGCAGCTAATTGGATACTGTGCCGAGAGATCCAAGCGTGCTCTTGTATATGAATTCATGCCAAATGGTTCACTAGAGAAGTACATCTTTCCTCGAGAAGGAAGTACCTCCCTGAGCTGGGAGAGGAAGTATGAGATTGCACTTGGTGTGGCTCGTGGAATTGAATACTTGCACCGAGGCTGTGATATTCAGATTCTTCATTTCGATATCAAGCCACACAACATTCTTCTAGATGATAACTTCATCCCAAAAGTCTCCGACTTTGGGCTAGCCAAATTGTATCCAACTGATAACAGCATTGTGAATCTAACCAAAGCTCGAGGAACAATAGGTTATGTAGCTCCAGAATTGATCAACAGAAGCATTGGAGGTGTCTCATATAAGGCTGATGTTTACAGCTTTGGAATGTTGTTGATGGACATGGTAGGATTAAAGACAAATTTGATGCCTACTGAAGAGAATTCTACCCAATACTTTCCATTCTGGATTTTCGATCGGTTCAATAAAGGCAAGGAAATTGAAATGGAAGAAGCAACTGATGATGAAAACAAAATCACTAGGAAGATGACCTTGGTTTCATTATGGTGCATCCAGACAAATCCCATCAACCGTCCCTCAATGAGAAAGGTAGTGGAGATGCTAGAAGGTGAAGTTGAACATTTGCAAATGCCTCCTGATCCTTGTCAAACTCCTGAAGATACATCACTTGAGCAAGCATTCAGTGGAGAGTCTACAAAGTCGATGGCTTTGTTGTGTAATTCTTCTAGTTACATCAACTCCTTAGATGTGGTTATAGATTGAAAAACTGATATTTTAATTACAAATCACACTACAGTGCTAGGTTAATTCACAAGTTAATATATATGTTGAAACCCTCTTCTAGTCATGCATAAATACATCAATGGCCCCATAATCTCAATCGCAGATATATAAGTGTCTCAAGAAGTTTAGCAATTCAAAACTTTTGGCAAATCGCTTCTACTAAGTTTCCCAACAGTAGCTTAGCTTAGTAGTTTAACTCTTCCTACTGGCGTGGCGCTGCTAAGACCCTTCATACCATAACAGATCAAAAAAAAAATTGTATGGAATGCTTGGCTAGATTTTATTATGAATAGAGAATCAAAACCCTATCATATGGTTCATCTTCAGTAGAATAGGGTACTAAAATTATGTTGACTCAATCATCCTTGATTGCTAAAATTTGAAAAAACAAAAAACAAAATTCAGTCTAAAATGATCTGAACTTCAATTGAATTGAGTCATGTTTCTTGAACCTAACGATGATTCTAAACAAAGATTGAATCATAAGGAGATGGAGATAGAGTACACAGATGCAAAGAGGAGATTGAAATATGACACCTAAGAATTCGAGTCAACATTAATTTGAGTCAAGATTTGGTTCTCCTTTTATTTTATATAAGGTTGATCAAAGGGTTGTATCTTATTTGTGACATGTTACTCAAATTTAAATTTGGTCTAACCTTGAGTAAGGCCTGGGGATGCATTTATATGTCATGCATATACATGATTTTATTTTTATTTTTTTGTGACTTCACTTTTCTTTTATCTCCTTTCTCATGATTGCTACGTTTAGGATTTTTAGTATTTGCAATTTCATGAATTGTATCATAACCTCCATATAGATGTAGCATCTGACCGGATCACAAAATCACCTAAAACAAACATCGAAGACCAAAGGAGCTCTGGTGTCGATCCTTTGCTACTTAGGTTAGAAGGAAATTTCAAATGAATTCAATGCTTGGGAAGGTGACATCCAATAAAATTGGAACGATACAGAGAAGATTAGCATGACCCTGCGCAAGGATGACGCGCATAAATCAAGAAATGGGAAGCTGAATATTGCCTACTTGATACTTGTGTTTCTACTCATTCTATAGGTGTTTCAACCGGTTTATTACAAATGGTATAAGGATTGTTGCTGTCCATCTCAACAAGATTAGGTGTTGACCCTCTACTGATTTGGATTAATGCCAAGCTAGGCTGGACTGGAACTCAGGGATAGCAAGGTATGGAGGTTTTTTTTTTTTTTTTTTTTTTTTTTATGCTACATGTGCGTGCAAGATCCTGCACAATATAAAAAAAAACGAGAACAGATCTCTCCCTTGGTGAACTCGAGTGAGCCGGTTGAGTGACCAAACACGCTGTTTGGAACAGCCTGCGAGGTACGGTGGTAACCTGGAACGGCAATGGGAGACCTTGGGAACGGAAGAACGATCCAGTAAGACTGAAAGAGGTTCCTGGAACAAAGAAGAACAAGTTAGAAGGGCGCCGGAGTGTTTTCCGGCATATCCCCTCCGACGATCTAGTCAGTCTTTTAGAAAGAGAGAGAAAGGAGAAAACAC